ATAAAGGTTGCATGATTTCATAAGGGTGGGACCTTAATGCAATAGGGTTGGTGTTCTTATAAGAAGTGGAAGAGACACCATAGTTCTCTCTGTGCTTGTATACATGCACTCAGAGAATGGCCTTGAGTGAGGACTCCAGGGACAAAGGAGATGGATGTGCAAGCCAGGAAGAAAGCTCTCAACAGAAACCGAACCCTGCCAAACCTTAATCTCAACTTCCAGCCCCCAGAACTAAGAGAAATAAACTTATGTTGTTTAAGGCACCCAGCCTGTGGTATTTTATTTTGGGAGCCTAGCAGACCAACACACCAGGGGAGTATGTTGGAAGGAAAAAAGGACAAGTTGTCTAAAAATATATGCAAGGAAGTAAATATAATAATGGACTGTGAAGTCTCAGTCAGATAAGGAGGGAAGGGAACATGGTGTTGGGGATTGAATGATGTACATCAGAAGTTAAGTAAGGTCAGGACTTCCCTGGCAGTCCAGTGCTTAAGACTTCACCTTCCAATGCAGGAGGTGCGGGTTCAATCCCTGGTCAGGGAACTAAGATCCCACCTGCCTCGTGGCCAGAAAACCAAAACAGAGGCAATCTTGTAACAAATTCAATAAAGACTTTAAAAATGGTCCACATCAAAAAAAATTTTTTTTTTAAAGTTAAGTAATGTCAAAGGATTGGAAGTCCCAGTGCTGCTGAAGCCTCAACAGGAAAATAGGAGAGTAGGATATTTGACTTTGAGATTTTGGAGGAGATGTCATTATTTATTGGTAATGGCAAGGTCTAGGAGTATGGCTGTAAATAGAAGACAGATTTATGGAAGGCAAGGAGTCAGAGAACTAAGAAATCATGATATTGAATAGATATTCTGTGTGGTTATTGAAATCGCTAAGAAATTAACTGAGTGATGGAGACAAAGGCAGAAATTCCAAAGGCAAAATATTCAAGGAATGGATATAGATATAAGTACATAGATTTGAGTGATATTTAAAAGCAAAATCAACAGGAATTGGTCATGAATTAAAATGAGATAGAAGAACAATAAGGAGAGGGAGCCATTAAGGATAACTCACTGGTCGCTGACTTGAGCTACTGGATGAATCATGGTATCATTGGTAAGTTAGGGAAGGCTGTGAGAAGATCAGGAGTTTGATCTTGGATATTCTAAATTTGAAGTGACCTTGGGATATCCCAGTGAAGATATCAAGGAAGTGGCCTGGTATTTTGGTACTCAGAGCAGGGTTCATCCTGGAAATAAAAATCTGTGAAGTATCTGATGATGGGTGGTAATTGAATTCCACGACAGTTGTGCCATTGCCTACGAAGTAAGTATAGAAAGAGGAGAGGGGAAGCCTAAGACTGGGCTTTGAGTAACTTCAGTATTTAATGAACAGATTGAGGAGTATGAGCCTTAAGGGAGACTGATTAGGAAGTTGAAAGAGAGATAAAGAAGCCAGGAGAGTATGAAGTCACAGAAGCCAAGGGAAGAGAATCTTTTAAAAAGGAAGGTGTAGCCAGTAGTGTTGAAAGCTAATGAGACCGAGTAGCCTGAGAGCATAAAAATCTCATTAGATTTAATGACATGGAGGCTATTGGTGACCTTAGTAAAAACTTCATTAATGGACTAATGGAGGTGGAAGATAAGTTAGAGATAGGTGACTGAGGCAGAGGTGAGGAAAACGCAAAAAGAGAAAGCAGGTTAAACCACGTTTTCAAGAGTTTTAAAGGGGAAGAAAAGACATGTGGCAGTTAGAAGGGTCAATCAAAGTAAGGATGGAGATATATATATATATATATATGCATATATATATATACATATACATATATATGTATATATGTAGTGTGGGTGTGTGTATTTGTATTGTCTTAGTTAACATATATATAATTTTATTTTCAAGATGGCAGGAACTTGAGCCTATTTAAGTCTTGATGAAATGTATATAATTGGGAATTTTAATATGAATTTAATATGTTAGTGAGGAAAACATAAATGATAGTGGAAAAGTAGGAGGGGATGGTATCCTAACCACAGGTGATAGTTTCTAGGAGGACTGACAACTCCTCTAGTCCAACAGGAGGGAAAGAGAGCTGGACTACCCCAGGACTCAGTCATCTTAACTGTGTTCTATCTTCTCTCTTTCTGGGTGATCTAATCCTTTTTTACAAGAAAGTGTTGTGGAGGATTGGTGCAGTGGGCTTCATGGTCTCAAAGCAGCCATGAGAAAGGAGAACACAAGCTCCATCTTCTGCTGCAGGCAGGTTGGTGAGATGTGAGAGAGGAAATAGCTACCACCTGAGCATATTATGGGAGAAGCAGCCTTGCCAGGTTTCAACTAAGGAAAGGCAGGGGCCCCTCAGAAAAGACTTGGAAAATGTAGGGGAGTTTGCCATTCCTGAGAACACATTGGAAAGTTTGGGTGGACCATGATAACTAAGAAAATATTTGTTATTGGCAAGAAGATAATTTTCAATCTAAAATCAAGTAGTTGAGCAAAGTGGTAGAGGTGACTGAAGACAACTGTAAAGTGAAAGGCAGACCTTTTGTTCAAGGAATTTGGCCATAAGAGAAAAGAAGAAGATGGAATTAAATTCTATTTGGCTTTTTGTCTTCTATAATCTAGCTAGTTACCTGTGCTATTTCACTTCCATTTTTTTTCCTTAACATGAACTCTATTCAGGTTCATTTTCTGTACATAATACTTCCTAAAATTCTTTTTCTCTGAGCCATGTTTATGCTTTTCCCCCTGCCCAGAATACCATTTAAGTCCTTTTTCACCTTTATGAACACAACTCTTCTTGTAAGACCCTTTAAAATTTACCTCTCAACTTTCTCTTTGTTTTATAGTATTTTTTCACTCTGAAATAATTGACGTTTGTTGTAAAACCATTTGGAAAATACTTGAAATTATAAATTAAATATAATCCACATAATACTATCACTCAGATATATCACGCTGTATGTATTATTTTCAACACCAGTACTTGTAAATTGCTAAGTCTTTACTGTTCCACTAAATATTTATAGCAAAATTTTAATGGCTAATATTCTATGGTATAGATGTACCATATTTCATTTAACCATTCTCCTAATATTAACCAACTTAGATCATTCCCATTTTTCCTATTGTAAATAAAACATTATCTTTTACATAAATACTTGTCTACACAATAACACCTTTAGAGCAAAAATCTTTTAAGTAGATTACTGGTTCAAAGGGTAAATGTTTTATAAAGGCTCTAAATGTATAGAGGTAGATTATTTTCCAGAAAGACTATAATAAATTATCCTCCTGCAGACATCATTTAGCAGTATATAGGCACCCCTCCATTGTCAGCATGGAATATTTTTAAAAGTTTTAATGTCCTAAGTGGAAAAATGGCTTCCCATTGGGATTTTCATCTGCTTGTATTTGATTACTAATTAAGGTGAATATTTTTTCTTATAGTTATTGATTACTGGATGTTTTCTTCTTTGTATTGTCTAGTCATGCCCTTTAATACACAAAACATAGTATTTTTAATTGAATTATAAAAGATCATTAGTATTGTTAATCTAATTGTAAAATTTTGTTACATGCTAATTATCTTGCTCTGTATTATATTGGTTGTTATTTTCACCCTAACTACTGTTTTCGCAGTAAAACATATCACACATATCTAATCATTACAGAATTCTCCATTCTCAGATGTCATGTAGCACTCTAGAGTTTCACTCCACAATCTTAAAATTGCACTCTCTACTGTCTTGTGTTGTTCATTAATAGTTTCTTTTATATTAATCTTTTATAGCCACAGAGATAGTAACTTGCTTGAGAACAAGCATAGGGAGTATGTTTATCATTATTCCTAGATTTGTAATTGGTATTGTGTTATTGACTTCTAATTTGCTTCTGGGATTATCATTATGTATATGCCCATCAAAATATATAGCAAATTAACTCATTGTGTGTTAATTACCATTATGTTCTAGAAAAATTTATGTATATTTACAGCCGTTGGGAATAGGTTATTTTTCTTGAGACTATCTTTATGCTTGTGGTAAGATCTGGGAAAAAATATCCCTGGGGTATATTAAAATTATTTCAAAAGTTTTAGGATTGTATATTAAAGAAACATTCTGTCGTGAGCATGTTACTTGTATCATAGTTAAGTGAAAGATGGTGTGAGCCATCTGATAAATGATTTCTTTTTTCACGTCAAGCAGCCCAGCTTTTCTGAGCATGCTGGCTTTGCAAGGATTTATAGTTCCCTGCCTTCATGCTGGAGTTACTTCAGCTTTCCGTGATGCATTCCAACTAATCTGGAGGTTAAGGCATTCCTTGATCATGGATAGATCTGATTGCTACTCAGCCCTGGAATTCTTTATAAAATTCCAGAACGTGGGCTAGAAATTGACTTAGGGAATCCAATAAAGTTGCAAGTCTTGGCAGTCATCCAAGCTAAATTTATAGACTGGAAGAAATATGGGCTTTCCATTGTTCTCTTTTTCACCTTTCTGGGTTTCTTTTGTGTGTATGTGAGTGTGTGAGTGTAAATTTATCATTTTGCTGATGTTGGAGTGGAAATAATCATTGAGGAAATCCAGCTAAAGAATTTTCACTTTGGATCCTCCGTGGTCTTTCCGAACTTTGACCCAAACCTGCACCAAAAATGAATTTGTTCTCCCTCTCTAGGATGCTGGTGTCATAAAATAAGAAGTTGTTCTTGAAAATGAATCATGCTAGTATAACAGCTGATGTACACATTTGCCAGCTAGGTACAACTCCCAAATCCCCGTTCTTCCCCTGGCTCTGTGGGAGCCTTCTTTTTGAGACATGATCTGAGAAAATGTGATCATATGTATTGTTTCTGTTCATTCTGTGAAATGGTAAAGGGGGCAAGAAAACAAGCTCTGAAGCCTCTTACAGATTTCAGTGTTTTTGTGTGTGCCTGATGCTCTGTAGTACATGGAGATCCAAGCAATCCTCTCCTATCTGATCAATGAAAATCTGTCTTGTTCTTACAGAATGGATTTGCTGTTGTGAGGCCCCCAGGCCATCACGCTGAAGAATCCACGGCCATGTAAGTACCAGGGACTGTTGCCCATCTCCAAGCGCCACGGTTCCTGGCGGTCACCTGCCCCGTGCATGTCTCTGAAGCCTCTAATTGTTAGCAGATGGACTGAGAAATCTTGCGAGGTACTCCCAGAAGCAGATTTATGGCTTCAGAGATCATATAGCATTTTAAAAAATGCTCTGAACATTATTTATAATGGTTTTCCTGGCTGATTTGCTTTCTTATTTCTCTGTTCTTCTCTATTCCGCAGGGGGTTCTGCTTTTTTAATTCAGTTGCAATTACCGCCAAATACTTGAGAGACCAACTAAATATAAGCAAGATATTGATTGTAGATCTGGTATGTATTCCTGGCCAGAGCTGCATTTTCAGTGACTCTAGATAAAAGGGAGTGTATTTGTATTTCTCTGTTAGGTTGCCTTGCTTTTCGCACTTGCAAACAACTGAAGGGTGTGTTTCCTTTGAATGTGGAAACTCATTAAATTCAGGATTGCAGTTCTGAAACCATAAACATTCACGTTTCACTTTCATGGTGTTAACTGCAATTTAATGAGAAGAAGGCGCAGATCAGGGCAACTTTTATGATGCTTAAATGAATTGATACTTCCACAGTTAAAATAACCCAACAGAACCTGAATTTACTTTTCCCTGCAGAATATAGACTTTAAATAGTCAGATGTGCTGGAAAGAATGCTGTTGCTTTGGTAACCAATTGGCCACTTCCCCTGGTTAGCAGTCATATTGCTTGTTGTGCAACAGTGGTATTATTAAAACAAGTCAGCATGTCATTTTTTCTGAAAAGATCTCAGATCATGTATGCCAGTTTGGGATGACTCCCGGCAGGAACCCTGAGTGATTAAAAGTCAGAGGCATTAGATTAGTCTTGCATTTTAACATCATGCATTCTTACACAATGGAGTTATAATTAGTTTAACAAATGGTTTGTTTAAATGCAGATGACACTTGGCAGGTTGTCTATAGTATATTTGTGAATAATGAGCTGGAGATCTGCCCCATACAAAAGGAGCAACCCAGGAAAGGGCGAAAGAGAGCTGACTGGTGATTTATGAGCCCCGTTTTCGGTTTGCCTCCAGTTCACGAGGAGGTGTAATAGGTTGTCTGACAAAGCATAGACAGGAAATGAACCCTGGCATCCAAAGCTAACCTGCTACATCTGCACTTAATTAATTTTTGCAGGTGATAAAAGATTTAAAGGCAAAATATGTTAAAAGTTTTTTTTGAAGTGCAAGCCTTAATAGTCTAAATCTTGTTCGTATCTGCACTCATAATTAAATCTTATTGGGAAGTCGTGGCCTCCCTGTCCCGCCCTCCGATTCAGTTAAGCAGGCACACCAAAGGGTTGAGAGAGCACAAACCAAGCCATGTGAAGAAATACTTAGTCAAGTTAAAATGAAGATAAAAGGAATGAAAGACTGATAACCATTTGTACTGTTGGGTAGGAATGGTTATTTTCCACATCCTGTAGTGTAGCCTTTCTGCAAGTTCTTTGGTGCTGAGGGTATTGAAACCCAACTTCCCATGTATTTTCCAAACATGCTTATGTTTCAGTATAGGTCATAGTTCAACATTAAAGAAATGTGTTGAAGGCCTAGATATACTACAGCAGCAAGGTCTTAAAATTTTACAAAAAGGAGGACATCAGTACCTATTTTCCCATGTATATACAAAATGACGTTTTAAATAATTAATAATCATTGGCTTGCATGATTTATAAGATGGTACATTTAAAAAACATTTAATATGTTTCTAGAACTCTTAAGTTTTGCTCGAAAGATAAGCAAAAAACTTGAAGAAAGGTAGCAGACGAAGACCAAGGATTGTGGGAAAATTTTTCTATGCTTTCTAAATTTGTCACAATTATTCAGGAAGGAGATTGTTAAACTGTCACCCTATCCTTAAGAATTTTTTAGTATTACTTTCTGAGGAATCTCCTCTACTATGAAGATAATAACTGTTAAGAGGCTCTTTAAAAGCACATTTGTGACATCCAAACTCTAAAGCAATGAATTGTACAAGAGACTTGAAGGCTAAAATGCCTGGCTTGTGATAGATGAATATTTTGTACCTCAGAGGATTTGTGTGTAAGGTTTTGTTTTTGTACATGAATATAAGAATAAAAGTTTGTTGGATGTAATTTGATATGATTTATAAATTAAGTTGCTTGGTAGCTATTAGGAGTGTCCTGTAAGCTTACTGGCCTTTGATTATGAATTTGCTCCATTATCCCACGTAAAGGATACTGATTTCCCAACAGGCTATAGTAAAAGAGAAGTTTTTGTTTTATATTCTCTAAACATATGAAGTTCTGTCCAAAGGGTTGCCTCTGAGATCACCACCAGCCCGCATATTCTTACTTTCAAGTCTTCCAAATTCTGCAGCTGCAGGGATACTTTGAGGAAATTCCCCTGTTTCTTCCAGCTGCCGAGAAGGAAGTTTTAAAGTGCCACGTGGCGCTGAGACATCCGTTCTCCCTGGCTGACAGGTCTGTTCTGCAAGTTAGCAGAGGAAAAGTGAAGGTTCTTCAGCGGCAGAAGAACTTCATTCCTGCATATACAAAGTCACTAACTTTAGCTAAATGGTATGAACCAGCTCCATCAATTCCTAGGCCAACAGAAGGCAGAGGTACTCCATTGTTAGAGCAGCTAGATTCCACATTTTTTAGATGCCTAGTAACAGAGAGCTCTAATTCACCCCCTATTTGAAGCCACAGCCAAATATCAGAGGCGTTGAGTATTTTAGGCAGGAATGATTCTAGTTGATCTGTGGAGCTTATTCATTCCAGTTCTCCTTCTGGGGAAGATTCCAAAGATACGCAGATTGGTGAGGAAAGAGAGCAGGTGCACTTGCTTTTCAGCTTGCAAGAGACTGGCCGTTGTGTTCAGGGCGTGAACCTGTCCTAGAAGTAGGATTTGCCTGAATGACTCAGGTAGCTTTTATGTAATGTGACCTTCAGTCGAAAATAATATATTTTAGGCTATTTTCATTAAAAAAAAAAAAAAAAAAGACACTTCAAATGTCCATAGATTTTAGGCAATTCCATTTTTGGTCAAGCACCAAACTTGACCAAAGGATTGTCGCAAGTGCCCGTACTAAATAATTATAAGTGATAACGTTAGTTGATAGAATATATAATTTATTCAGAGCTATTTTAACATTGTAGTGAAAACATGTTGGCTCTAAATCCTTGTATAGAATAAATTTTCACAGTATGTCGTTAACCAGTAAAATAGTGAAATTATTTTTCAGTATTTCCCAGCAAATCTTAGATACAAGATCTGTTTTGAGGCTGTTCATGATTTGGTTCATTTCCTTACTATAGTAAGTCCTCATAATCACCAATAATTGTCCTATATTGATCTAGTATATATTTGTTGCTGTGGAGAAAAAATCCTCAGATCATATCTGACCAGTAAGTAGTTTGTATTTATATTTTCAGAGAAACTGGAAAAATACTCTCAAGATTATAAGTTGTTGCCCAAAACAAAAGGCACATTTGGACTTACCTTTATCTCTAAATGCTTTGTGAATATAAATATGGAATCAAGAATTATCCAAGTATTTTTAGAATGGGTTTGTGAATTTTAATGAATAATGTCTGTTGAAACCTTACTGTGCTGTGGGCAAGAGTATATTTCTTATTCTGAAATTTGTGCAACAATAAGCACCCAACACATTTTTGAAGAACATATTATTTTATATCTAAGACAAATGATCTTTTATTTGGCCTTCTTAGATAAACCTTTACAACATCAAGGCAATATTTTTCTGGTTTGCAAACTGTGGAGGTATCTAGGCCCAGCGAAAAATTTTTCTTACAACGCTGACTAAAAATTCTATCCTGTAGTAGCAATGCAAACATTCTATCACTGTTATTTTTCAAAATATTTTGTTTGTCCATCCTCTAGGTATCCAGTAGCAAATTCAAGACATTGTGGGTTAAATTGTATCATTTTTGTTCTCATAAAGGACAAGTTTTGCTATTTCCTCCTTCCTTTCCTTTAAACGTTCAGAAATCCAGGAATTAATATATATATTTTTCAGTAAGCTATTTTTTTTCCTGATGTGTGTGTATGCCTTTAGTCAGTACAAGTTTCTGGAAAGATGCCTTTCTTTCCAAATATTTTATGATTCCTTAATTGATTTTGGATATATGTACTATGTAAAAGGGGGGAAGATCCGTGTATGTCTACACTGTGGATAGCAAGCTCACTGCTTTTAGAACCCACCAAAAGGAGGTTTTGGTGGTGTCTAGTGAGGGAGTTCTGGGCTGGAGGTTGAAGTGGAGACAAGTTATATAAACCTCAATAAGGAGCAATAATGACCACCAGTCTCACTTCATAGGTTTGCTAAGAAGATCAAAGAGATAATGAATGTAAGTGTAAGTTAACAGCATAATGGTTATGAGTTTGGCCTTTGGAGTGAGAAGTGGATTCAAGACGCTGTCTTGAAAAATAACTGAAGCTCTCCAAGTCTCAGTCTGTTTACCTTTTAAATCAGCGATAATATCATATACCTCATATAAATGTTAAATAATCTATGTAAGATATTTAATATGGTACCTGACTCAAAAATTGTAGGAATCATTGTTGAAAATAGTGTGATTCTTACTGATATAAAATACAGTGTAAGTAAGTAGTTACAAGTGACCAATACTTTTTTATAACAGAACCTGAAACTATAAATGTTACACATGTAGCAGTAATATTATATTAAATACAAATATATAGGTTATTCACTTTTATGAGTCATTTATTTTATCTTGGTCAGAAGCTATTAGGAACCATATTAACTGAGACTCTTGACACTTGGGGTCTTTTAGTAAGGATGTTTTTAAAAATGCTACTGGTTTTATTTTTCCTATATCTTTTATCAATTCCAGCATGTTTATATCATAAAACAATTAGAAAAAAAGAACTATTAAGTCTTGAATCATTATCAAATACAAATGTCCTAAGAATTTTTTTTCTTTCATTTTAATGAAACAGGCCCCTTTTTTTTTCCTGTGGGAAGGGGGAGTGGTGTGGAGAAAGAAAAAATAGGAAGAAGGAGGCTGGGAAGAGAGCCATAATATAATATTAAAATTAGGCAGATTGGACAAGATTGCATAAAGGCCCATGCCATCTTTCTGCTTTGGCCCAAATGATTTAATAGCTAATGAGCTCACGCTCCTGTGTCTTTGACTCTTGCCTTCACGATTTTACCAAAATAAAGTATGAAGTCCTTTTTGCATCTGGCATCTCTTTTGAAGTCATTCTAACTGCTGAGGGACTGCTAACTGAATTGAACGCTTCAAGAAAGCCAATTTACTCAGCTGGTTGCAAAGCCTTTGACCTTAATGGTGGGACTTGGCAAATCAATGCATACACGTATGTTTAGTGTTCTGTCAAGAATTGCGAAAATGCTCTGTAAGCCATAGATCCTTCTGCAAAATACTAGTTTGTAGTTTAAACATTAGTCTTTCCGCAGAGGCCAATGAGGCTAGTTAATTAAGCCTAAGGGGTTATGAACTGTTGGCAGTTAATAAGTCATAAAATTCCTCCATAAAACAGGATGCGAGATTCCATCACTGAAGCAAAGAGTACAAAGGGCCGGTGTATAAATATCTAATTGTACCAAAGGACTGGGCTTTCTCAATGACTGCTCATCTGGAGTCTCCAGGGCATGTTTGCTGTGGTTTCCTGATTTTTAGAAGCCAGTTTAAAAAATGAGTGCATTAAAGGGTAATTTGCCTGAAAGTTCAGGAAGTAAAGGGGGTGGTGTGGAAGCAAGCTGAACAGGAGAAAGAAAGAGGGACATACAAGACAGCAAATGAGAAGGAGGGTGGGGTAGAAAGACAGGGAACTAGAAATTAGAAAAGTTGTCTCCACACAGAGTGAGACACGACTGTATTTGTCATCTGGTTTTTTTTTTTCCCCTGTAGGATGTTCACCATGGAAATGGTACACAGCAGGCCTTTTATGCTGACCCCAGCATCCTGTATATTTCACTCCATCGCTATGATGAAGGGAACTTTTTCCCTGGCAGTGGAGCCCCAAATGAGGTTCGGTTTATTTCTTTAGAGCCCCACTTTTATTTGTATCTTTCAGGTAATTGCATTGCATGATTACCCCTAATTTTCTTGTCCTTTGCTGGTGTTTTAAATTACACGAGATTACTGAATTGTCCCACGGGACCAAGAACCAGTGCAGAACAAGTGCATAACCCAGAGCACTGGTTGTCAAGCAAAGTTGGGCTGATTTGACATGTTGTTTGATGTTTATTTCAAGAGCTCACATGTGTTTGTTTTCCTCTCTTCTTGCTTCTTCCCTGTGCTCTTCTCTACCCACTGTGGTGTGGTTTTTCTCTTCCTAGGTTGGAACAGGCCTTGGTGAAGGATACAATATAAATATTGCCTGGACAGGTGGCCTTGATCCCCCCATGGGAGATACTGAGTACCTTGAAGCGTTCAGGTTGGTACTTCTTTCTCTGAAAGTGGAAAATTAGAAAACAAATGAAACAACACCAAATGTAAAAGAGAAATGTAAATTTCTAACTAAGGTAAAGTAGCTAAAGGAGTCATTCTATTAAAGCTCCAAAAAATGTTTGGTTTGAGGGACCTGAATATTGCTACAAAGCCACTTAAGGAGTATGTGTACCAAAAAAAGGTACATCAAGACCTAGTTGTAGTCAATGGCCAGGAATGTTCCCCTCTTTCTACAAAAAAAAAAGGGAAAAAAAGATTTTATTATTAAGTAGTCTGGAAAATTCTGCCTATTATGACATATGATGTGATTTAGAATGGACATTAGCATATTAACCGCTCTGGGAATTCCTTCACTACCTATTTAACTTTTTTGAACAGACATTTCGCAAACTTCACTGGACTAAAGAGTTTTTTGCACATATTTTTACACATAGCACCACTTGGCATTCTTAGTTCCAAGGAACATTGGCCTAGGCAGTCTCATTTCATGGTTAAGTAAATGGCTTTTCCCTATCATAATATGTATATTTTCCCTCTCACATTAAAACACCAACTGATTAATTGGTTGTTGCCAGTTTCTTTAGAAAATGTAGGCAGTAATTAAAGTGTATATTAATATATACACATTGCTACTATTTTTCTAAAGAGCTCTAAAAATTAGTTGAAACAAGAAATACAATCAATTAAAAGTTGTTGTTTTGGATATAGTTTTTTAAGGCATTTATTCTCTGGAATTAAAATTTTGTTCAGTGTTTGGAAAGGTCTGTGTTTTAAGGGAAATAGCAGATTATGTCAATATGTGCCTCACTTGCAAGATTTTAGGAGATTTTAACCTATTGGTACTGCATGAATTTTGGATGTTTTGTTTATTTGAAGCAAAAGCAAACAACTGCATGATAAGAAATTTTTGAAGCATTCTTTTCTTTGGCTAATTTACCAACTATAAATTCCCAAGGGAAAAATCCTGTTGACAACGCATCTGAAATAGATAAGAAAATTTTTTAATCAGTTAAGTTCTGATGGGTTTCTGTTGTCCTGTGTATCATTCATACTTCAATTTCTCCTTTGAGAGTCATTTCTCATTTGAAAACAGGCCCAAGAAAAATGATAGAAAATTGCCATTTTTAAGAATATACATTAAAATAAATATATTGTCTTGATATTTGAGGAAAATTCTACTCATATTTCAGATTTGTACTTTGAAAAAAATGTACATGTTCTATAGTACATGTATCTTTACTATTTATAGGAAAAATAGGTGAAATAAGTTTATTTATTTTGACTTGGGTTGTCTATGAAGATATCTTGCGTTAATTAGCAGTAAAAGTAAACAATTATATTAAGAAACTATAGGGGTTTCAATATTATGAATTCTTTTTGCAACTTAGCAAAACATTATTAATGTTTTAAAGGAACTCTAATGGGATAATAGATTTTTACATTATCTCACATATGAATTTATTTGTCTGTTTACCAAGTTGACCTAGTAACTTACATGATACACACATTAAGTTCTCAACTTTACCATAGCATATGATCATAGTCATTGGTCTGCAACATAGAATTACTAGTATTTTATTATCACAATACTATTTGTGGTACTGTTGCTTTACATAAGAATGCATTATGCATTCACAGCAGGGAAGGATAATTAATGTTTTGTATCTGTTTGTTCTCTCATGACAAAGTGAATGGTAGATGAGATTTTTTAAAAAGAACCCCTTTGAACACAACAATTACATTAAATAATGTGAAAACAGGTATTAAGTGTACACTATTGATTTTTTACTGAAATGGTTAAGTGAATCAAGTGCTCCTGAAAGTGTTTGAACGTCCCCAAGAATGGCACCTTCTCTTTGCCTGGAATGTGGACACTTTATTTTAGAAAACTTTTTTAAACTTCCCAGTGTGGTCACCATATCCAGGCTTAATTAGAGGAGAAGCAGCATTATTCAGCTAGGCTGCAGAAATGTAAAATTGTGACTTTTAATGTTCATAGTTATTTAAGAACCAGATTTAAACTATAATAATTCTGTCAGTTTTTATACTATACCATGTCTGCTTGCTGCTCAACGTGTATAACTAGAAATACTTGTAAACTTTTTAAGGAGGAATCAAGAAAGTAAGTCTTTCATTCAAAAATACTCATTGAACACTCAGTATGTGCCAGGAACAATGGCGAGCACTTGGAATTTAGAGCCAGTTTGCTCTCAGGGAACATAATAGAAGTGATACTTATTGTTCTAGTGAACAGATGTCCTTAGACATAGAGAGGATAAAGTGATGAATTCTTCCTGAAGGGTTTCGGGAAAGGCTTCATCAAGTATTGTTCAACCTGTGCATTCAAAGAGTGGGAGTTTTTAAGGGGTAAAAGAATTGGAGTAGGGGGATTCATACTAGGCAGAGAGAATAGACTGTGGTGTGAAAAGCATGGAGCCATAAAATGACCTTGCTCTGTGGGCTCAAGAGCGTGAGGGTGGGATTGCGTGGCAGGTATACAGATCATACTTCATACTCTTTGCAGGCAAAGAGTGCCCAGCTAAATGTATAAATTTCTTTCTAATTTGGGGCTCTAGTGCGATAGACTCCCAAATAATTTTTAATGTAGTATTATTTTATAAGCATATCCTTCTTAATATAATCCTTTTTCTAAGTATTGAAACTAAAGCTCTTTCTGGCATCTGTGTGTGGGTGCAGAATACAGAGGTTGGGAGAAAAGTAAATGGTACCTTTTCTTTTTTCTTAATTTTTAATTGTTTCTGGACTATGATAAGTATCTTTGTAAGGAAAAACTCTCTGAAACTCCATTTATAATAGGATATAAGATGGCTGCTAATTTTAAATTTGCATATATATTGCCTTTGTGGTCTCTGTTATGTGTTTTTTTCTGTGGCAAAAAGAAAATTGCAGGCAAACCAGACATTTTCATGTTTGCTATACGTTTTAAACATAGTTTTAAAAATATAATAGAATATCTAAATTAGTTCAGATAATTAGTTGTTTCTTCCCTGTAGTTATCATTCATCTCTGAAATAATTGAAGGTTATGATTCATATTTTTCTCAGGAGTTTTTAAAATCTTCAAATAATTTCAAATATCTTCTATGTTCACCTAAAATATATTTCTAAGGTTATCATTTTATTAAATAATTATGAGTATTTGTATTAAGGTCTTACATGCCGGTTCTAGATTATAAATTTTATAGACATCGTGGCTATTTCTTAAGTGGTTTGTATAAGCCACAGAACTACTATATGGAAGGACCATGATGTGGCTCTAAAATCTATGCTCTAGGGCTTCCCTGGTGGCACAGTGGTTGAGAGTCCGCCTGCCGATGCAGGGGACACGGGTTCGTGCCCCGGTCCGGGAAGGTCCCACGTGCCACGGAGCGGCTAGGCCCGTGAGCCATGGCCACTGAGCCTGCGCGTCCGGAGCCTGTGCCCCACAACGGGAGAGGCCACAACAGTGAGAGGCGCGCATACTGCAAAAAAAAAAAAAAAAATCTATGCTCTTTCTATACCACCACACTGCTACTCTTTTCTACTGTTCATGACTTAAAAGACTAAGGTGTGATAAAGCATAGTGAACTTACACTGAAACATAAGGCCTTCTACCCCAAACCTAAATCACAAATGCCTAGTACACAGCATGGCAGAGAAGAGCTATTAAGTAATACTGGCTGAATGAAACAATTAATAAATAAATAAATCAGAGAAGAAAGGGGGAGTAATACACTACAGTAGAAGCATTGGAAACCCGTGAGGGACCTGCATGAATCCTATCTCTTGGTCCCTCAAGGAGCATGCTTCACAAAGAACTCTGAACACCCATTCATTTGCTTATAACAATTTCAAATGTCTTCTCTTCATTCAACAAATTTGCTAAATGCCTGCTTAGCAGCTTCTGTTCCAGTCACTTCAAAATATTGTTCCAATGGTTCTGTCTTATCCATAATCCCTAGATGAGTGCTGGACACATTTTTTCTAAAGATTAATTCTTTAAGAGTTCTATAGATGTTAAAGTGGTTATTTATATAAGAGAATTTATTTTTTGTACAATATTACATGTTACAGGTGTACAGTATAGTGATTCACAATTTTTAAAGGCTACACTCTATTTATAGTTATTATAAAATGCTGGCTATATTCCCTATGTTATACAATATATCATTGTAGCTTATTTTGTACATAATAGTCTGTACCTCTTAATCCCCTACCTCTAAATTGCCCCCCTTCCCTCTCTCCACTGGTAAGTACTAGTTTGTTCTCTGTATCTGTGAGTCTGCTTCCTTTTTGTTATATTCACTAGTTTGTTGTATTTTTTTAGCTTTTTCATATAAGTGATATCATACAATATTTGTCTTTCTCTGTCTGTCTTATTTCACCTAGCATAATGCCCTACAAGTCCATCCATGTTGCTGCAAATGACAAAACTTTATTCTTTTCTATGGCTCAGTAGTATTCCATTGTGTGCATACACACACACAGACACACACACACACACCCTACATCTTCTTTATCCATTCATCTGTTGATGGACCCTTAGGTTGCTTCTGTATCTTGGCAGCTGTAAATAATACTGCTGTGAACATTGGGGTGCCTATATCTTTTCGAATTAGTGTTTTTGGTTGTTTTGGGATGTGTACCCAAGAGTGAAATTTCTGGGTCATATGGTAGTTGTATTTTTAATTTTTTGAGAAACCTTCATGCTCTTTTCCACATTGGGTGCACTAATTTACATTCCCACCAACAGTGTGTGCGAGTCCCCTTTTCTCCACATCCTTGCCAACATTTGTTATTTGTGTTCTTTCTGATGATAGCCATTCTGACTGGTGTGAGCTGATATCTCATTGTGGTTTTCATTTGTATTTCTCTGATGATTAGCGATGTTGAGCATCTTTGCATGTGTTTGTTGGCCATCTGCATGTCCTCTTTGGAAAAATGTCTATTCAGTTCTTTTGTCCATTTTTTAGTCAGGTTATTTGGT